TTGACCTTTCATAGTCATCCTGACTTTGGGGAAGTCTGAAGTCACCCGATGCAGGGCACGGGGGATTAGGAGAATGAGCACACACAGTTATGTTCGCACAAGCCTGCCTTTCTTCACTATGGTTTTGATGACACCTTGCAAAGACACTCACAATGTGTATTTGAAGCAAGAGGGGGTATTGATCAATGGCAAAGTGTCTTTGGTTGTTTATTACTGTTACTGTTTATTAATTTTACTGCTTTTTGAAAAAAATTTAAACATTCTCCACGTTTTGATCACCCCTCCTACACCAAGACATCTTGGGGCCCCATCAAATGTGCATAATTAGGATCTTGCAATAAAAATCAAACAAATTTAAGAAGTAAAGATATAGCATGTGCTCCGAAGGTACAGCTGGAATGCACCATCAGGACTGCAGTCCTTCACGTTAACGAGGGGGCGTGGGTGTCAGGGCAGCTGCCCCATGCCCCCAGGTTTGTGGGGAGGGTTCACAGTGCTGCCAAGGAACCAAGCACGGTGCCCACGCAGTGCCCTGGCAGAGGCCCACCCCTTCCCTGGGCTGTGCTTCCTAGCGGCAGGAGAGCACAGCATTCTGCAGAGCCCAGCTTCCTCTGCTCCTCCTCCAGGCTGGCACCCTAGGACGGCCCTTGATGTTCTGTGCTGCGGGTGTGACTTCCTGCCTGCCTAGGACCCTCCCCCGTGCTGCTGGGGACCTCCCCGCCTGGACCTTGCACCCCCATACCCAGTGACAAACTCTCCCTGCCCCCATGGCTCCCTGTGCACGGGACCCTCCTCTCCCACCTCACCCCTGTCTCCTCCTTTCCCCAGGCTGGAATGGGACGCCACAGGCCAAGGAGCTTTCTCTGATGGGCCTGTATTCCTGTTCGTATTCTGTTTCTTCTCTAAGACCACCAGTTGTGCATGGGTAGGAATATTGTCAGGCATCCTAGAACCCAGCGAAGGTATACAGTCAGCACATAACAGTTGAGGACAATTATTTCTGTAACAAAAGTCAACATTTAGCAAGAGCTTGGGAAGCACTGTGCATCACACACGTTACTTCTTTGGATCCTGTCACAAGCAGGGAGCAGGTGTGCTATTATTCCCAGAGTGCAGGTCCATGGCATCCACTCCGAAGAACACATCACTGAATGTTGGACCGAGTTACTAAGCTTACTTCTGCATAGGATCCAGAGAGGGAGAGGGAAATCAAATAAAGACTTTATGTCTGCATTCTACTTTGAGGATTTTTTTTTTTTTTTTTTTGGTCTTTTTGAGACAGGGTCTCGCTGTCCAGTTCAGGCTGGCCTTGAGCTCACTTTGTAGCCTAGGCTGGTCTCGAATTCGCAATGATCCTCCTGCCTCAGCCTCCCAGGTGTGATCCACCACGCCTGGCTTACTTTGAGGATTTTCAAAGCACTTCTACATTCACAGAACAAATGATTCTCAGTAAGTATTGTATATAGTTCTCCTCTTAGGAAAGGGACAATATTATATGGTGGCCATGTAATGATTTGGAGAATGGTTTGGATTTAGTAATCAAATTTAAAATGTATACACCCTTCGGGTCTAGCAGTCTCACCTGAGGGCATCTCTGTCAAATAAAGGCTTCCACCTGTGACTCCCGACCCCATCTATGGGCAAGGAAATCTGGTATAGGAGTGTTTGTAACAGAAGGAATCACACAGTGTATCAATCAGTAATAAGGAATAATCTTGCAACTATTGGGAGGATATATATAAATATATATCCATCCTCACAGAGAGGTCTCTAAAATGTAATTTCTAAAGGGTAAAAAGGAAAATCCACCTAACAGGTATCTTATTTTATGCTCATTAAAATATCTGTTCAAGTTATGCTTATACCTACATACGGTGCAGGTAGGGAAAGGGTTAAAATGAAATTGATAAAACTGCTCAGAATGTCTCCCTCCTCCTGGGTGAAAGTGTGTCAGAAGTGCCCATGTCTCGCTCTCAAGGCTTCTGCATGGCTCAGGTACCACACACACAGACTCTACTCACACATCACTCAGGTAAAAACAAAACAATTAAAAGTGAAGTTCCTTTTATATTTTCACCATTTTATCATTTGTTTTTAGTTCTGCTTTCCTTAGTTTTCTGTCAGCATATAGTTCATATATGTAAAAAGTTAAAAGTACTGCCAAAAAGCTTTTAAAAATATGTAAATAAAAAACAAATGTTACAAGCAATGTCACTACACAGCTAAAGAATTAACATTTCGAGAGGCTGAGCAGGAGGGTCAGAAGTTTGAGGCTACCATCTGCAACTCAGTGACTTAGCAAGATCCTGTTTCGAAATAAAAAATAAAATAGAGGTGAGGATAGAGCTCAGTGCAAAAGCCCTGGGTTTAAACTCCTTCAGGGCTTGTTATATATGTCTGTATCACATCTGTCCATCTATGATGTCTAATGTGCTATATATGGAGTTGGTACTCTGATTTTTTAATTCAGAATGATACCAAGGACTTTTCCTCATATTACTTTTTCTTCAGAAATGTGATAGTAATGAACTGATGACATTCCATTATATGAATGTACCTATCAGGTATTTAGGTTGATATCAAGTTTCTCTTGTTAGATATTAAATAGCAATAATTGTTTTCAGCATGCATGTGTCAGGATTTCTGGTTAGAGCACTTCCTTACAGAGTCCTAGTGATGGACTTGCTGGGTTAAATGTCATAGACTCTTAAATCCTCCGAACACATTGCAACAGCATTGCACCAATTTAAATTCCCATTATCAAGACATAAAGTTTCCCATTTTATTTTCTCTTTGTCACTACTGTTCTTTAGTATTTCCTAATCTTGCTAATTTTACGGGAGACAGGGTTGCCTAATTGATATCCAATTTGCGTTTTTTTCTAAGTCACACATTTGGCTACCACTGAAATTAACTTTTGCTTCATTTTGTTTTGCAGTTTTGACTCTCCTCACCCTTTCTCCCTAGATTGTCATTGGATTATTTATCATTTTCTTAATTTTTGTGGTGAGTCTGCATATGTGTGTTTAAGTGGATGCCAATTTATGCACAGACTCACTCATACGGATACACATTGGAGATGCCACCACTTTCTTAAGACACTGATACACACGTATTTAAGACACTATTCTAAGATACTATTCTTAGTCATTGTAAATGTTACGGATATTTTCAACATTTAAAAAACATATCCAGTCTCTAAATCTTGCCTTCCTTTGACTACATGCTTATACTTCCCTGCCCAACTGCATTTATTTTTTGGAAAATTTACTTTTCAATGTGTCTCGGGTTGTTGGGAAGTTTCCAAGGCAGAGTGGTAAGCCTGTGGATGTTTGATTTCCAGGCAGAGGTCACTAAATATATTTTGTTCCAAATAAAACTCACGAGTGTTAATATAACAAATGCGCAGAATGTGAAGAAACTGTCACCAAACTTCCTAGAAGAAATGAATCAGTGTCCAGTTTCTCTTTCATCCCTGAAACTCAGAGGAAGTCAGTGAGAACGAAGCTAAATAAGACACGTGTGTTCCAGAGTAAGTGCCTGTGATGTCAGAGAGATGCACATTAATCTCCATAGTTGTAATTATTTAAATGCAACTAATTAAAAACATCACCAGCTCATCTGTTTCATCCAAACACATCACATCTCAGCTATTTCAAGGCCCTTAAACAAGACCTTTTCTTTTGAAAGGTTTTTTTTTCTTTCTTTTTAAAAATTGTTATTTTTATTTATTTATTTATTGTCGTTTTGAGTCACAGTCCCCCTGTGAAGCTCAGGCTGGCCTTCCATTCACTTTGTAGCCCAGACTGGCCTTGAACTCATAGAAATTCTCCTGCCTCAGCCTCCCAAGTGCTAGTATTATAGGCACAGGCCATGAAAGATTTTTCTGCTTGATTTTTTTCCACTTTCTTATCCCATAAATTTTCAAATATACATTAAGCAGAAAAAAGGAGTTTAAAGAGTCCTTCTCCCAATATTGTTATCATCTAGATTTAATAATTATCAATGCCTGGCCAATCTGTTTTATGTACTGCCTCCACCCAAGCGTCAAGATTGTGTCAAAGCAAAACCCAGACACTTTACCAATTTCTCTATAAGTGCTACAGCATGCAAAAGGTCTTTAAAAGATAACTGTCCCCACTTGGTGGTTGTACAGCCAGGAATGCTACGGATGAAATCATTAGCTGTGGTCGTATTGGCCAGGAAGGTGCGGGTCTTCCTGGTCATATTTCTTTCATGTCCCTCATCCCTCTGCAACCCGGCTGCTCTAATGAACTGTTCTAATTAAGACCAGGTTCACCTTGTTACCAGATTCCTTGGTAACCTTGTAGTACAACTGTACTTAGGGACACGGCCCAGGCCCTTGTACCTGCTGCAGGCACCAAAATCTGCATGTGCTCGAGGCGCTTCCAAAAAGTGCTGTGGTCTCTGCTCATAACTTGTGTTCATCCTCCCGCGGGTTTTAAATCATCTGCACAATACTCCTGTACCTAATGCAATGCAAATGCTGAGCAGGCAATTGCTATACTGTATCAGTCAGGGAATAATGACAAGAGGGAAAAACATCTGTATGTGTTCAATACAAATTTTTTCGTAGCTATTCAATCTGAGATTGGCTGAATCCATGGATTCAGAGTCTGCAGTGTCAAGGGCCAGAGGCACCCACTCAGCCTTCCTCGACATCTGGCGCTTCAGAGAGGGTGAAGGGCACTCACAGGGCCTCTTCCTCTGACTTGGGTAACGTACCCCCAGTTTTCAGACATTTCTGCTGTACCACTCTTCCGCCCACAGCAGTGAGCCACAAACTGCCAATGAAGGCCAATTGCCTTGGCTTAACCAGAGCTCAAAGGGCGTCTCTCTCCTTGTCACTGCCTTCGCAGATCATTTCCTCTGATAGCTGAAATACATTACTGCTATAACTGCACAAGAGATCGAAACGGATTGTTTTTCATTTGAGCAGAAAGTAAAATAAATCCCTCCGGCAGGGACAATCCAATTACCTCGTCAAAGACCTTGGAGAGCACAAGCTTATCCAGGATGGGGACATAGGTGGGGCTGTGGGGCACCGCCGTCACCAACAAGGCGTCCATGAGGGTGAGCTTCTTGGCCTCCAGGCCGTGGATCTGGAGCCAGGTTGCCGAGGACATCTCTGAAGATCTAGGAGCACGCGATTGTGGGCTATAAAACTTTCTGCCTGGTTGGTAACAAACAAAACATATCAAAGTTGTCCTTGCAAATTAAAGCACTCACTCCTTGCTGCAAGTTTGGCTCCCTTCTGTGGTCCATCTTCCTGACAGATCATCACCCGGGTTCTTGCTGGTCAGTAGGGGGCTGAGGTCTGCAGAGGGAGAGGAGGCAGCTGTGTACATTCCTGATTTATAAGGTTTGCATCAAAATGAAAAAAGGATCACAACCGTTCAGTCCAGCTGTGACTGAAGCTTCTAAGTGGGCTCTGGGAAAGATGCATTTGGGGTTTACCTACAGACAGAAACACGGGTCCCCTGAGAGAGGGACCCCTGGGGCTGCCCCAGCACACTGTTATTACTGCTTTGCACATCCTCTGCACCCCAGGTCCCCTGAGATCTCTATCCCTGCAAGAATCACACGTACGCATTCTCTCTGTCTCCAGGAAACATTTAAAATGCTCCATAAGAATACTGTGAACGGATAGTTCAGTGAGCTCAGACATCTTGTACTTATAGAGGAGAGACTTGCTAGCCATCTAAGGTTCATTCTGCAGCTCCTTAGTTCTATGGGGAAATCAAAAGACTTTGTTTCATTGTGAGCTCACATTTTGAAGTTAGTATTTGGGATTTTAAATGTGTATCTTTATATAACACTGGATTTAAAAATGGGAAGGAGTATTATTGACAAGCAGCACTTAGACAGAGGTGTGCTTGGGTACATGCTGATTAAGAAATCATAGTCTATTCATGTCCTAAGAAACCCCACCCAGTTCACCATACAATAAACCCTTAAGGCTGTGTGTGTAACTGCCAGCTAATCAGAAGTGAGGAGCAGCACCGCGGTAGCGAACTTGATTAGCTGTGGTGAGCAACTACTACTTGGGGGACTCTGTGTGTGTGTGTGTGTGTGTGTGTGTGTGTGTGTGTGTGTGTGTTTGGGATTTATTCATCAACTATTTGAAATATAGAGAAATACTATAAGATTTCAACTTTTAAAGTTTATTATTTTAAGAGTAATGCCATTTATGAATAGTAATAAGTACTGAATGGACAATGCAAAGTCCCCTCACATTTAGTCCCCAAAGTCTGACATTTGGACCAAAGAGTGGCTCATTGGATGTGGACACCCGTGAGTGAAGAGAAGAAAATGGTCCCACTCTGAAGTACAAGAGTGTCCAATCAAAAGCCGAGAGTGGCAGCAGGCATGAGCACTGGCACCGGAGTTACACGAACTGCATGTGTTAAACACCCAAGTCTGGGCCCTAAGCCCATGGACTCAGTGGCAGCCCTGGTTTACAAGGACTCTTTGCACAGGCAGTGATCTGGGAACATTTAAGATACACTCTGTTCCCCCCACCCTCCACCCAGATCCTTCTGGAATAGGGACCCTGGGCAAAAGGAAGCCAGTAGTCCCCTGAGAGAGGGACGCCTGGGGCTTGCCTTGGTCACTTGGAGCAGAGCTCCAGGTACCGGAGGTGGAGAAGCTGTCCTCCCTGGGTTTGAAGGCTGAGCTCTTGAGGGTGAACATCTGGCTTCTGAGGAGGCTGGTTCTGGTCGATTCTGTTGGTACCAGAAGGAAAGATGTTGAAGGAATTTGGGAGGGAAGGAGAGACTTCTTTACATACCACTGTTTCAGTGGATCTGTGAAACAGGAATGCAATTTAGTCTCCCGGCCTCAGGGGATGGGGCGGCTGCCAATAAGCGAATGCTGTGATAACAGCCCGCTCTGGTTCCAGTCTGTGCCTCTGGTGGGAAGAAACGCACTTCTGAGCTTGCCGAGGTTGTCAGCAGAATGCGCTGCCCTGCAGCTCTAGGACTGAGATCCTTATTTCCTTGGTGGCTCTTGGCCAGGGGCCTCTCTCGTCTCCTACATCTCCTGCATCACTTCCGATGTGGTCCTGCCTCTTCAAGCCAGCAGCCATACACTGAATTCCGCCCGGGGCTCAAACCTCCCTGGCTTGGTTTTCTGCCACCAGCTAAAGAAAGCTTTTGCTTTTTTAGGAATTCTATTGCTCTCTCCTACAAGAAAATAGATCACTGGCATGAAGATTAGCAGGTGATCTGCAAATGGTCTACCTTTCGTACAGAAGAGGATACCAGTGGTCTCCACACAAGCAGGTGGGAGGGTGCTTTGTAACGCTCACTGTTTTTCTAGGCAAAAAAGAGGAGAGCTCAGTTACAGCTACTCTGTAACCAATAGTTAAAAAAGATAACTTTAGATAACACTATGTAATATATCAACTAGTAGTGATTTCTTAATGTTATTTTTAAAAATTCTGTATCATTTCTATCCTTTTTTCTGTTTTGCTTTTTTTTTTAATTAAAAAAAGGTAAATTTTCTTGGGCATTGTGTGATCAAAAAAGATCAATGGCCAATACAACAGAGCTGAGTGCCTATGGTGACCACAGTGGCAGATCACCTTGACCAGAGTCACTAGATGTTAGGCTTGATACACTGTGTCACCTTGAGAAGTTTAACTAAGAGACTCAGCAGGGAGCCAGCTTTCTCACTTTGTAAACACCCCCATCCTGTGCAAGAGAAGGGCACAGAGATTGTGTGAGGGCTACATTACCTTTTGCTCTGACTGCTGCCTTGAAGTGTTACCCCAGTGCCCTGCCACCCTGCCTTGGAGACAGCTGATTATGGACTGAAACCTCCACAAACTGTGAGCTAAACAAACCCTTCTTTTCTTCATTTTGTGTGTCGGGTATTTTGCTCCATCGATGAAAGAAAATTAAGCAAGACACTAGAGAGTAATAAGCAGACACACAAGTATGTCAAATGCAAATGAAATGTAGCTCTCAAAGTCCCCGAGCATAAAGACTGCACTAGTCCCAACCTTGCAAATATTGAATGAAAACATATTTATCTGAAATCAGATTCTAGCATTTAACTACACTGCAAACTCTGTATAGTCATTCACCACATTTCAGTATTCCTGGACATTAGCAATGGAAGTAAAATAAAAATTCGGCACACAGTACTTTCGATACCAAGGATCCCAGTCTAAGGGAAATAGTGAAAGTCACAAAGGCCACTAAAATGCTCAGGGCAACTGGTAAACAGCGGCTGTAGTGCAGGACGGGTTTCCTGTGGGAAGCAGGCGGATTGGAAGAAGGAACGGAATCACAGAAGTGGCGGTATAGGAAGCCTATTTGTCCCCCATGGACCCAGGACGTGACTTCCATGTACAGAGACTTCAAGAGCAGGTAGCGATCACACGTGAGAGGTTGGGGTACAGAGAGTGCCTGTTCCAGGAGGCCTCTGGGTCCCTGTGAGCTTGAAGTCTTCCATCTGGCTTAGGGACAGCGGTACCCAGGAGGCAGCCCTGGGAGAAGCCACCACAACCCTCCCCTGGCATTCCAGCCTGAGAGCCCTACAGGGACACAGAAAATAAGCTCCAAAATAATACCATGAAGGCTATGAAAATTAAATTGCCATGCTGAATTTAAACAGTGTGATTACTTCCCCAAACAAAAGATATAAGCAAAGTCCAGAATCCCTAATGTAGACAAAACATCCAGGAGGTTATCAAAAAAAAAAAAACAAAAAACACATGTCTGATTAAGAATTAAGAAACCACACATTAAAAAGAGAAAAAAAAAGAAAAAAAACCAAATGATTCTGTCAAGATGAGTCTGAAGTTAGAATTATCTTACAAAAATTTCAAATGATCAATTATGAATTCTCTTTGAACAACTAAAAAATTAAACTGATGAAATTTCTAGCAAGACTGAAGAAAAAAGACACAAAGTACTATTATGAAAAATGAAAGGGAGGTACTACAACAAGTCTTGAAGGCACTGAAAAGTTAAAAAAATACAACAAACCTATTAATTCATAAGCTTGTAATTTAAACTTGTATTAATCCATGAATTCATAAATTAAGTCTCATAAATTTGACAAACTAAAAAAATACAGACCAATTCTTTTAAAACCACAAACTCCAATGTTGGAACTTAGGACCCTGGGAAACCGAGCACGCAGCTCGCCTCCCTGGAAAGTGACTGTGGTGTGGCAGGTTGCAGTCCATCCAGGGGGAGAACCACCAGTGTCTCCTGAGATCCACACCATGTTGGATCTTAGGACACTGGGAAATCAAACAACCAGCCTGCCTCTTTGCTAAGCAATAGTGAGCCCACTGGTGCATGGGCTGAGTCAAACATTCCACTTAGCAAATAGGAACCAGAGATCTGAGCATCTCTTGGGAGGTTGACCATAGCAAATAAGGGGGATTTCCTTCTACCGTCTCTTTGAAGGCAAATATTTTTATTACTGTTTTGCTTTATTCTGATTAATGGTACTGCTCTATTCAATACTCTGTTTTAATAAGTTCTATAATGTTCTGTATTTCATTTTATTTTGATAGACATGATTGAAAGAACAATTATTGTGAAGATAATGAGATATAGTGTGACACCTATTATTGTTATGCTGGTAACCTGCTGTGAAGTTTTGTACCAATTTTTTTTTTTTTTTTTTTTTTGTCTTTTCCCTTTTTATCAGTACCGGGGATCGAACCCACGACTGCCTGCTTGCAAGGCAGGCGCTTATGCCGCTGAGCTAAATCCCCAGCCCTAGTTCTGTACCAGTTTCACTGTACTGTCTCAGTTGGCTTTATTCTGTCTTCTTCTGTTGTATTTTACTACCTTCAAAAAAAAAAAAAAAACCACAAATTCCCAAATCCAAACACAATAAAGTAGGTAATGATGTTAAAGCCATTATATAAATTGAATTGTTAAGAAAAACATCTTGAAAAAGAAATCTCTAGGCCCAAGTGGCTCCATGACAATTTATCCAACATCCAAAAAATTATATCAATTTACAGGGAAAGAGAAGTGGAACTTCCCCACTCATTTTATGTTAGGGTTAGCTTGATGCCAAAATTGGAAATACTTTCATGTATTTTGTTACAAAACTCTTTAACAAAATATTGGCAAGTGGGATCTAGCAATACAGTAATATATTATACATACATACTAAACAGGAATTACTCAAGGTATGCAAGGCTGTTTGACATTTGAAATCAATGGAACTGACTGTTATCAATAGACCCAAGAAGAAAAATCACACATCCATTGACATAGAGAAAGGATTTGACAAAATCTAAGCCTATTTTATGACAAAAGCTTTCAGAAAGCTAAGAATGTGGAGAATCTCCTCAATTTGATAAAGAACAAGCACCCAACCCTCCCCAAATGACCAAAGTGCATAGACTGTGTAAGACGGCCAGGCACATGACACACACTTTCTACCTGTACAAATGAGGCCAGGAAAACTGGAGTAACTTGAATAAGACCTGTGGATGGTTTCAATGTCAATATCCTGCTTTCAATATTGTAATACTGTTTTGTAAGATAACATCATTGGACAAGGTAGGATGCAGGTGAGGTCTATGGGTTTGTGTGACCATACAATTACTTTAATAAAAATTTCAATTAAAAACCTCACCAGGGGCTGGAGATGCAGCTTAGCAGGAGAGCATCTACCCAGCATTGCAAGGCCTTGGGGTTTGGTCTCCATACAGCAGTAACAACAATGACCACAAACCCCCATAGGCTTAACAAAATACTGTGGGAGTCTGGTTTTACTGTGTCACCTTGCTTTGAAGAAAACACAGTAGAGTCAAGCTCTTTTATCACTGATACCTACCTGCATGGAGGACTTTCTTTTTCTGTGTCTTTTGATTTGATAGGTCCCAGGGTACTTTTGACATATTTGGGAGCGAGGTTGGTGTTGATTCAATATCAGATTGAAGTTTTGCTATAGAAGAGATTTCCTTTTGATGCCTATTTTGATTTGGATAAAAAGTAATAAAAAACAAAAACAAAACAACACAACATAAAAAAAGGGAGAAAAAAGAGAAAATCTATCAAGAAGGAAGCATTAAGGTGGTGGGTTCCTGTTATAAACACTGCACACTTAGAGAAATAAGCCCTCCTCTATTCAGTTAATATAAACATAGGCCTTTGCCCTGCCTCAGGCACAAGGATGGGTGGAAGATGCGGGGTCTCTACCACGGGTCTGTTCAATGCTGTGACCTTATTGAAGTCACTGGATCCCCCCTAACTTACTCACTTTTCTCATCTAGACCTGAGGCAAAAAAAAAAAAAAAAAAAAAAAAAGTCACCTGAATGTGACCAGATGACTTGTGGGAGGCAAAGCTGGGTGTCAACACAGAACAATTACAGAAACCCAAGTTGTTAACCCCAGTCAACCAGCAACCCAGATAAAAGCCAGGAAGGGAAGCTCCTGCTCAGGACCTCCCAGGCAAGCCAGCGATCTCTGTAGAGCACTCTGAAAGTGTCTGGAAATCTCCAGTACTTGCCCTGGCATTCTGCCTCTGAAGCTCTGAACTTAGTGGCCACAGACTGGACTCTTTTCAGGGCAATCTCCTTCTCCAGCACTGTGACATCTACTCTCCTCCTCCTCCAGCCCCTTCAACATGGTGCCGGTCATAGCTGAGTGTAGAATTAAACTTTCCTAAGCTTGTTAGGATCAAGTACCCAGCATGCACAGTGTCCCTTCTCTGAGGTTAACTAAGCCACAGCACTCACAAGCCAGGCACACTCTCTTCAACCCAGTGCTGGCCTCTCCCTACTGTTACCCCCAGGCTCTATGTAGATGAGGAAACCAAGGCCCAGCAAGGTTAGCCAACTTGTGCAAACACCTAACAGAATTGTAAGACACTTCTCTGCCTCCTCCAACTCTCAAAAATGACAAAAAGAAGACCGTATCCACTTCTCAATCAAATAGTGGATATAGTCCACTCATCAATTCAATCTCCAGGAGATAGGTGGGCATTTAGTCCTGAGATTTTAAGTCTAATTAAAAAGAAAAAGATAATTGATTTGCTGGCTAGAAGTGTAGAGAAGGTAATTTACATTTGAGTGCAGCTCATTCATTTGATGCTGTTTTTCTCACCCAAATTTGCTGAGTTTAGAAAATGTGCTCCTGTAAATGTATCCTAAATATTTAAAAATTAATGCCATGAAAGGCTGTGGCAGTGAGTGTTTGTAAACCCAGTTCTCAGGAAGCTGAGGCAGGAGGATCACGAGTTTTATTCTAGGCCAACCTATGCTACAAAGTGAGTTCAAAGCTACCGTGACCTACATAGCAAGACCCTGTCTCAAAAGCTAAAAGCAGGGGCTGGGGATTTAGCTCAGCGGCATAAGCACCTGCCTTGCAAGTATGTGGTCATGAGTAGGATCCCTGGTACCGATTAAAAAAAAAAAAGACAAAAAAGATTTTTTAAAAAAGCTAAAAGCAAAATAAAAAACAAATGATATTCGTGCTATGTGAATATTTCACTGTAAGAAATCTTGCAGATTTCAGAAAAGAGGAGTGAGAGTTTGAGAGGACCCTGGCCCTGGGTGACAGAGTGGGCACACTCACTTGCTGTTGCCTTCCCTCTCTCCGTTGTAACACCAGTCCACGATCAGGGACTCAGAGTACAGGTCCTGCATCTTCTCCAGGTCTCTGTACCCCTGCTCCATTTCCCGGAGCAAAAGCGTTAGCTCCCCGTCCTGCATCATGAAGTTATATGAGAGAGTGCAAATTTTAGACACTTCTAACCGAAAACTAACTGCAGTGGAAAGAAAAACCTCAAGAGTTTCATGGGACTCCTTCCATTTCTAGCCAACCTTACAAACATACAAAGCACCTACGATAAACTGAACACATAAAATTTATCGCTAGGGAAGCTCAGACATTCACACTTGTAAAATCTTACGATCAAGGTAACAAACTCGTGTGTAACCCCCAAGAAGTCTCCTGCACCCACTGTAAATCTTCTTCCTATCTACAGCCTCTTTTCCTAATTCTCAAGAAACGACTGAGTTTTCAGTCCCTTACTTTCAATTTTCTAGAATTTTTATATAAATGAAATCAGAGATACTTTCTCTTTGCCTCCCTTCATTCATGTAAATATTCTGAGACTCACCCGTTGTAATGTGAGTTTGTTCTTTTCGTTGCTGAGTAGTATCCAATTGTACACTACATATCAATATCTCCTGAACCATTCCCGTCTTGATGGGAAATTATTTCCAGACTTGGGGCACTGTTGGTAAAGCTATGAATATTTATGTCCAAGTTTTTATTTGGATATCTGCTTTTATTTGGATATCTGGAAAGCTAAGATGGGATACTGTCATGGATGAAAAACTGGTGGTCAACTTAACACCAACTCAATTAAACTGGGTGGAACTGGGTGTAGATTTCCACCTGAGCAAAGTTGTCAGCATAAAAAGACATGAAGAGCAAAAGAATAATGTTAGCATTGTGAGTTTTCCTAACTGTTGTTGTTTGGAGCTGTTGGTTTTCCTCAAGGAGCTTGTCATGCTGGCTCTGCTGATATGAACTCAGCCAGAGGAACTCAGGACCTTGTTGCTGAGAGTAGCTGCCGTTCACTTTGGGGGAGCTCTGGTCCTTACTCTGAGCATCACTTCCTGGCTCCAGAGGGCAAGATGTGTGCTGTTTAATCTTCAGGAGAAGTTTGTTATGCAGGCTTTCTGATATGTACTCTGCTGTTCTCATCATCAGAGGAGTTTGGGACTTCATTGTCACTGAGGATGGCTATGGTACTCTTCAGGAGAGCCCTGGTCCTTACTTTGAGTGTCATGTCTTGGCTCCACTGCAGAACCCCCTACCTACTGGCACAGATCCTTCACCCCGCTGGCACAGACTTTTAAGCTTCCACCACTGACCTTTGGGCCTTCCCAGACCTGTGAAACATAATTCATGAGTTGTGGGCTCTCAAACTCCAGTTGGTCTCGGGGGAGGCTCTGGGTCTTCAGCTGGACTCATGCAGGACATTTCCATGGGATCCAGGTCCTCAGGTGGATTTTCTAGGTCTGTAGTGTTGTGGACAGATTTCCTACACTTTCTTGTATTTAACTCTGGGTGACCATTATAAAATCATGCTTTGAATTCTGTGTCCTGTATGTAATTGTTCTCTTTTCAATTCCTGATTACAACAGATACTGAAATCACATAAATGGTGATGTAGACCTTTCATAGAAACTACCAAGCAGTTTTCCATACTTTCTGTACAGTTTGCATCCCCACCAGGAATGCACAAGAGCTCCAGGTCCTCCCCATCCATGCACGCATTAAACATTTCAGTTTTAGATGTGCTCAAACCCGTGTTAACATCACCTAACTATGGTTAATGCACATGTCTCTAATGACTAGCGGTGCAAATGAGGAAAGGAAGCTTTTCACGTTCTTATTTGCTGTGCATGCATCTTTTTTGGCTTTGTCTGTTTAGATCTTCTGTCCATATTTTGAGTTTTCCTCATTTTTGGGACTTGAAAAATCTTTATATATTCTGGGTACGAGTCTTTCATTAGGTATGATACAATTTGAGAATATTACCCCCCGGTGCACGGCTTTTCTGCTCATTATGACAGCATTATCATTTAAGAGGAAAAGGCTTCATCTGAATTAATTCCAATTTATCAACTTGTTTTTCTTAGGGGGATATGTTTGATATACTCTCTTTAAAAATCTTGGTCTAACAAAAGGTTTTTCATATATTCTCCTCTCGAGAGTAAAACACATAGGCTTTACATTTAGGTCCACGAACCATCTTAATTTTGGAATATGGTATGAAGTATGAAGTGAAATTATTTATTTGCTTACAAATATCCAGATGTCCAAACCCTATTTGTTGGGAGGGGTGGACTGTCCTTTCTCAAACAAATTGCTTTTGTTCTGTTGTTGTACATTTGTTAACCTGCATGCCAGTCTATTTCTGATCCTTCTAATTCTGTTATGGGTCTTTTTCCTAATACCAACACCTCCTTGATTACTGTTGCTTCAAGATAAGTCTTGAAATCAGATAGTGTTGGTCCCCCAAGTTTGTTCATTTTCAAAGTCTTTTGGCTACTCTAAATTCTTTGTGTTTCCCTAGACTCAGTTTGTCAATTTTTATTTTCACAAAGCCAGCTGGGGTTATTAGGGGAATTGTGTTTGAATCAACAGATCAACTGGGAGAGAACAAATTACTTAATATTATCAAGTTTTCTACCCATACATAAAATATACGTTTCGGCAGTGTTTATAGTGTTCCCTACAAAGGCATTTTGCATATTTTGACAGATGTATCCCTACATGATTCATGGTTTTTATTCTATTGTCAACGATTTCACTTCAATTTTCAATAGTTCTTTGCCAATATGTAGAAACAAAATTCATTTTTAAATATTTTCCTTTGTGACTTACAGTCTTGATAAATTCAATTAGTTCCACTGCTTCTATGTGTATTTCATTTGATTTCTACATAAATGATCGCATGGAATGAAAATAAAGACAGTTTCACTTCATTCTTTCCAATTTTGATGCCTTCTCCCCTAGTTTTTTGTTTGAATCAGAACTTTCATTATGGTGTTGCACAGGACTAGGGAGAACGGACCATCCTGCAATTTTTCTGATATTGACAGGAAGAAGATAATACTTTACCATTAAAGCCCGGTGTTGGCCATACGTTTTCTTTGTAGCTGCTCACCGTCAGACTAAGCCCACTCTATTCAAACCTTCGCGGAAGCTTTTAGTGGAAATGCACATTAGTTTTTATAATTATTCATTCATTGTAGAAATTAGTGGATTCATGAGACAGTCTCAGTCACAGCTGTGTCTACTTGTTCGAATGCACCCTGCTCCTCTCTGCTCTCTGGCCTTCTCCCCCATCCTTTCCTCCTCCCACGTCAGTCCTTCTATTGGCAGGTCATTTTCTCTGCTCTTTTGTAGTGTCTGCCCAGCTAGGAAAAGATACAAAAGGCAGCCTCACAAAAACAGTAAGATGTACCCTTATTCACCTGATTCACACTAACTTATTGGCACTATGAGAGGTTCAGCTTTTTCCCAAGATCAAAATGACCATGAGAATTAGACATTTTGAATGAATTCAAGACATCAAGGCACCCAGTACAGTGCCACTAGATACCTGAGAAAGGACTTCCAGGCTGCTTCAGAAAGTGGCACAGAATGTGAGCTAAGTGTTCAAAGGAAAGGGGAGTGTTTTGATGAGGAGTAGTTGCAACATGTGCTTTACTGTGATCATTTTTTAATAAGTTTTTAAATTCAGCATATTTGCTGATCACACCCTGTACATCACCGCATCAGCTCCACAGCTACCTTGCTTTGCTCGTCAAGAACAGAGTGCCTGGGCTGGGGATTTAGCTCAGGGGCATAAGCACCTGCCTTGCAAGCAGGCGGTCGTGAGTTCAATCCCCGGTACCGATAAAAAAGAAAAAAAAGTATAAAAAGAACAGAGTACCTGCCACATAAATATGGGATATTTGTGAGCGTTGCTGTGTATGTGCCATTTTGAGTGACAAGCACGGTCATTTGGAAAATAAGCATTTTCCCTGTTCTGCTTTGCATCTGAAGGAGAGAAGGTCAACAAGACTTTGGCATTTATTATTCTGTTTTTTCATTCTACCAGCCTATTATGTGATCTCTTGAGCTAAATCTTTCCTTTTTACTTTAAATTAGAAAACGTAGAGAATGCCGCATCGCACGGTACCTAGGTGCCATATTTATATAGAGATCATTCTTTTCTTCAAACCTTTCCTCAGGTGAAGGTTGCTAAGACAAGAAATCCTATTGTCAAAGCTTATTATAATGATTAATAAATACTTGGATATCTTATAATATCACAAACACACACACATACACACACACACACACACACAAGAAAACACACAGTATTTGTCCCTCTGCATCTGGCTTTGTTGCTTAACATGATGACCTCCAGTTCATTCCATTTTCCTGTAAATGTTATGACTTCAGTCTTTATGGTCAAGCAATACTCTATTGTAGAAATAGATTATTCATCTACTGATGAATCTCATTCATCTACTGATGAGCATGTAGGCTGATCCCGTAGCTTAGCAACTGTGAACGTTGCCATAGTAAACACGGGTGTGCAGGTAACATTTTTGTATGCTGATTTCATTTCCTTTAGTTATACACCCAGCAGTGGGATAGCTGGATCATGTTTCAGTTTTACTTTTAATTTGTTGAGGAAACTCCATCCTGTTTTGCATAGCAGATGCACTTTTTAGAAAAGTTTTCTCTGCATTTATTGAAATGATTTTTTAAGTTAATCAATTAATTAATTTTGTCTTTTGGTGACAATGTCTTGCTACACAGTTCAGGCTGCCCTTGAATTCACTTTGTGGCCCCAGCTGGCCTTGAACTCATGACAGTCCTCCTGTCTCAGTTTCCTGAGTGCTGGGATTACAGATGTGCACCACTCTGCCCAGTCTATATGATTTTAAATTAAAAAAATAAAACGTGCTTGGGAAAAAGCATGTTAACATAGTGAGGTACATGTTGATTTTAAAATGTTAAAACAGCCTGGGATTTCTGAGATAAATAAATCTACGTATCTTGGTCATGATCTATCATTTGCACTAATCTGGCAGTATGGCTTGGGGGAACAGGCACACAGACCCACAGAACAGGTATGGAGATACATCTGACACATATTTAAGATATTATTGATGTAATTTGCTAAATTTTGTTTGAAATTTCTTCACCTATATGCATGAGGGATGTTAGCCAATAAATATCTTTATGTTTTTGCGAGGTATTGGTATCACAATAATGTTAGCCTCATAGAAGAGTTGCAAGTATAATTCTTTTTTTTTTCCATAGTGACATGATCCTTTCAAGTATAATTTCTTTAACAGATACAGGGTTACTTAAGTTTTATGTGAACATAAATGTTCATTCTTTGAAATATATGTCCAAGCAACTAGGTATTTCTAGAGTCATACAATAATTACATTTTTTGCTTTTAACTATCTACAGATTCACTTACGAATTTTTCTTTCAGTATCAAGACTAAAAATTCTTCACCTAGCCCTAGGTCCTCATAATTTTTTCCCACATTTTTTTAATATATCTTTTATGTTTTCTAGAAGTTTTATAGCTGTATGTTTTACATTTAAATCAGTTCTGATTATTATTTGCACAAGATGTGAAATTAGATTGAGGTTCATTATTTTGCCCATGGATGTCCGTTGCCCCGTCACGTGTTGAAATGGCTATCTTTCCTCCACTGAGCTGCCTGTGCTCTTTGTTGATGTCAGGTGGGCGTACTGTGCGGTTATATTTCTGTGGTTGTTCTATAGATCTACGTATCTACCCCTCAAGCCACACTGTCTTGATTAGTGCAAATATACACTAATCCCCTACAGTCAGTACAGTGCTTTTTCCTCTTGTTACTTGCCTACACTTTCCTGCTTCTTTGTACTCCTGGTGACATTTGATTGAATGTCTAACACTGTCATTTTTACTTTTGGGGGTGGTGGATATTTTTGTTTTTGATAATCCTTTTGGAAGTTTATCCCGGGATGCCATTAAGTTACCTGGAAACTTACCTGTGACCTTTGCAGGTTAAACTTTGCCAGTGGAATTGGAGCAGTGTTTGTTTCTCCCACTACTGAGATCAGGGTCTTCCCTATATTCTGCCCTGTGCTCCACACACCAAGAAGCTTTGAAACCTTGTTGACAAAGCAGTCACTGTCCCCACCCCCAGCGACCCCAGAGCCTCGAACTCTCTGATCCTTTTGATTATCATGCAGTTCCCAAATCCACACAGTGTCCCCAGTGCAGACCGTGACTCATTCTCTGGCTTGACCTGGTTTTAAAGTCCCTCCTCAGGGTATGCAGTGAGCATGGACACGTGGACACACGCTTCTCCTGAAGGCTATTCTTTTTACTTCAAAAATTTCATTGCTTATATTTTTCACAAGCCCAGGGAGATATACTAGATTTTTGGCTTAATTTACCACTCTGCTTGAAAATTTAGAATAAATGCATTTCATCAGGATAAATTTATAATATCAGTATCTTTACATTGTAAACCTTTAAAATTTAATTTTTATTGTGAAAGGAGCAATGCTTTCAGAAACTTTGAAACAGCATGGTTGAAAGCAGGTCCACAGGACTCCCCTCTCCATGTCACAACTTTTACACACGTGTTTATGTTGACTATAGACTTAGACGGGTGTTCTTAAACTACACATCCACAGACCAAGTTTGGAGGCTCAGACAATAGAATTTCATTGACTCTCTCCCATTAGCTATTAGAATGAACTGCTTTATTTAAGGGTCACATGGTTATATAGTCTAAAAAGTCAAAAGACAACAGTCTAACATTTGAATATTTTACAAGTTTCCCAGAAATATCTCTACACAGCGATGGTTAGCAAACCGCGCCTATAGAACACTGGAATCCTTTAATTTGATCCATATTCCTAAAGTTTGACAAAATGTTGGTCATTTTGAATTGGAATGATAGTTATGTTGGGGGACATACACTTTTGTGTATGTCTGAAACTTTTTAAAATAAAATTTAAGTGAAAATGATATATATTAAGATTCCTGGACCACTGTCCTATATGTAGTACTCCAAAAGGAGACCCAAGAGTGTGCTGCTGCCCAAGGGCTGAAGCTCAGGGCGATCTTTGGGCCACACCTGAGGGACACTGGTACGTTCATTGTCCCTTTGGGCCACTGAGTCTTCTTTGGTTGCAGTTTCTCCAGCTGAGGTACCCACCGGCCCGGACCTCCACCCGGAATGCATGATGAATGAGTGAATGAACGAACACTTGCTTACCTCATCAAGGACCTCTTACCTGGAGGGCCTCTTGAGGAATGGGGTCCTTGCAACCGAATCTGTAAGAATGGAACTTTCCACCAGTCATAGAGGCAAGCTCTTTCAGGAAGTCATTAGCAAGCTCATCATTGTAATTGAAGGAGATGGTATAAACAGGGATTTTCTGAAAAGCTTTCACTTGGTTTATCACCATTTCAGGGGGCTGAAACAATAAGGAGATGGAAAAAGAGGAGAGAAAAAATAACAAAACATGAAAACCCTTAGTATGTTCCACAGTGAAATTCTGAAATAGTAACTCCTTGTACACTGGTGAACAGCTTTTTAAATGTGTTGATTCACTGTAATAAACAACCCTGCCAGTGTACTATGGCTCTCTGAGGATTCACATTTTAATGTAGAAAAAGAAGATAGAAGAAAGATTTGCTTAGTCAAATTGCTCAATCAAATGAAATGCACCTGAGCTTAGAGTCCAACATGGTTCAAATGTTTAAGGCCACTTACAGCACTGAGGTCAAAACCTCTGGGCAGAACACTAGATATCTGGATTCTACAGAGTAGAGTCCCTGGGTTCTTGACATGGCTTCCAAAGCATCTCCTCTAAAAGAATAATTGTCAGCTTCTCATATGCTACGGTCAACTTGCTGCCCGCAGAGAGTGAAGGAAGAGATGTTTATTAAAAACCCTCCCAGGTGTTGGATATTCATTTCCCCAGTTGAGCTTCACAACCATTTCATGAAGCAGTTTCAGAAGGAATGTTCCCATTCCTCTCTTTCTGTTTTACTATCAAAGCCCTATCATGGACTATCATGGTCCAGTTAATGTGCTCAATTAAGTACACACACACACACACACACACACACACACCAGCAAACTCCACCTTCTGAGAAGTTTCAGTAGCTAGGGCTGATCATGTGACCCAGTGCCGGCCAATGAGAGGTAGACAGAAGTTCCCAGTGAAGGGTCCCCATCCTCCAATAAGAAGACTAAAGACTTGCAAAAAAGGAAAGCTAATGTCCTTCCCCTTGTTTCTCCCTGGAAAATGGCACTGTCCTCCAGGACAGCAGCCTCATGGTGACCAGCAGGATGGAAGTCATGTACAAAAATGGTGGAGCAAGAAGCCTGTTTTCTGGGAGGCGTCCATGAGTAGCTGTGTAACCCAAACTAGCTACTGCTGGACATCCCTTGAAATGAAGCCTTCAGTTTTCAACCAACATTTGTGCTTCTGCCTCTTCTCCAGTAATGTGTACTTCTACCTAAGATAGAAGACTCCATTTAAACAGCCGGAAACTGAGGCTCACCCACATTAATTTTTCCAAGGTTGCTTAGCTCTTACATGGTAGGATTGGAATTCTTGCTCCATTTTTTGGTAATAGAAACAATGCTAGATGATGATTCCTTCTCTGGTGTGCACTAAAGACCATCTTGACAAGAATTAATTCTCAGAAATCATTACCTGACTTTTAGGAAAGCAGAGTTTGCCTACCATCTTCCTCACCCTCCACACTTCAGCTGGGAGAATCTGTTCTCAATTGTCCTGGTCCCTCTTTGAAGACCCAGATCTCTGGCTCCTTCAGCCAGTTCCTATCCTCTACCCATTGACCTGTCCATTGACCTTTAACCTTTCCAAAGGTATTTTTCTACCTGGGAAGAGGGGATGATGGAGGAGGGAACTCTGGACTCACCACTGGCTGGCCTTGGACACAGGGCACATTCCCTGGGGAGGTTACTGGATAAACGCTCCCCTGGGATCCGGCTTGTCTCAGCCATCACTTCCACACAGCCTCAGTCTCTCTGTCTGGCTCCAGTTCAAGTCTGTCTTTCCCCACCAGCTCTTCTCCCTGCCCATTGGCCAGTTTCTGAACCCAGCACCAAGCCAGTCTAGCCGAAAGGTCTTGCCAATGGCAAGGACCAAGCAGAGACCTCTGCTGCTGCCTCTCCTGCTTTGACTCATTTTCTCTCACTGAGTTCACATGCGAGGCCGCACTCCCTCCTCAAACCCTCTCCATAGTTCTTTGAGCCTTGTTTCTGACCAAGGACCCCTGGCCACCTCCCTTCAACCCTTGGTCTTTACCAAAGACAACCAGATTCTGTTATTTTGACAGACACTGTATCATCCACGAACAAACCCCATATACAACTGAGAAATTTGGGAAAGGAAACAAAAAGAAGGTTGACTTAGTAATAACTGTGCTGGTGCCAGGAAGCATGGGCAGCATTTCCACCTTCTGGAATATTCCTTGGTGTTACAGTGTGTATGTGTTTGCTGCTTCCTGCATTTCCAGGATGGAAGCAGCACTCAGCCCATAAAAGGTGCTCAGTAAATATCTTGAGTTGCCTTCCTGGGAACACCCACTCATTTAACCCCCAAAGCAGCCCTTGGAGGCAAAAGGACTAGCACTAAGTCCCAGGTTAGAGGACATCTGCACATCATTCAAGTGGGCAGTGCTGGGTGTGAGCTTCTAAGTCATTTCCAACATTCTAACAGCTACAAAGAGCATGAACACACAAGAGACTGCCAAGCGCGTCATTGGGAATGCCCCACCTGCACCCAGCCTCAGGAAGAGCCGAAGCAGCGTGACCTTGCAGCACTTCCTGTGGTGCCAAAGAGCTGGGAGAGGGAGTGGCGCTTCTCCATCACAGAGCAAACTCCGTCTTCCGGCCCCCCCACCCCAGGCTCCTCTAGCTGGGTTACACCCTCAGGGATGTGAAGAGTGGAATCAGACTGATGCCAACCTCTCCCCTCGCAGCCTGACTGAGCCTGGCTCTCCAAGCTCCCCTTCCAGGAAGGCCTGTGGGCTGTGGCACTCAGGCCCTGTCCAGCTCCTGTGCAACAGCAAGACAGAGAGCCTCTGAGAGTGTCCCTGTAGAGGTCACCAGCTCTCTGCAGTCCCTAGCTAAGGCCACGCAGCACAAATGTACATCCAGTGCCCTCGCCACCACAGTCAACATGGAGCAGCAAGGATGTGACACTCAGTCCTCTGCATGACCAAGAGGACACCTGCTGGTACAAGACGATCACTGTGGGCCTGCCCAGTCCCTGGCCCTCACAGACCCCATGTCAGGCAGTCTAACTGTTGTCCGGAATGGTGCAAACAGTTTCATCATGTCTATTCCCCTGATTCCCACCAGGCTGAATGCCTAACTTTGAAGAAATCCCCAAATGACCCCAGCCAAAGCTGCGCTGAGCTCCTCCCAGCAGAGCCCCATCCCCCAGGCTCAGCCACATCCTCCAACCCAAGGACGCCCATCTAATGCGGATCTGATTACATTTTAATGGAGACTGATATTTATAGAAGCTTCATTCTAAAGACTTGATTAATTTTAAAGAGTTGTATCATTTTATCCCATGGGCCTGACCATTTTCATATGCAAACAGTCAGCTGGTGTCTGTGTAACCAAATTCAGAAGGGCATCTTTGTGTATTCTTCCAGGTAGAAAATTCTGCAGGATACTCCACATCGTAGCTTTGGCCTTACACATTCAGTTTCTTCAAAGTTGATGAAAATTCAAAAGCAAATGGAGACTGACTGGTGTGCTTAATATTGTCTACACAGGACACAAATATCTGATATCTGTTTGCTTTTTTGAGAGAATCTTAGGGATAATGCATAATGAACAAATGCGTGTGTGAAAAGGCAGTTATCAATCTAAAAATTCTTAAGAGTTTATAAATTATATTTTGAATAATTTACATGTTTTTGACTCCAACTATTATCCATATGCTTGGCTCTTCTTTTTTTACATGGGACACAGATTCTCAGAGAATGTAGTGAAAGATGTTGATCTTTAGAAAAATGCATGATTTTATTTTGCACATACTCTTGGGGGATTCTGTGATGGCCTTTAGATCGTGAATCCTCAGCACACTGCTGGGAGCAGCGTCACTTGCTACATCTCCTCGGGGATTTATTTGGCAGCATCTGCCAAAATGTATCCTTCTGCCTGAATCTGCTTTACTTACACACATGCAAAATGATATATGGGTACAGTTTCTGTCACAATATTATACGTAATGGAACAAGTGGGAGCAACCTAAATGCCAATTTCTGGTAGGACTATTTAAATAAATTATGGAGTAACCCTGTGATGGGAACTATAAAAAATATATTATGGAACAACCAAGTGAAGGAAGCTATATGAAGAACTCTTCCTGAAGTGATGCAAAGCAATCTTCAAGCTGCATTATTTGATAAATACTGGTGCAGAATAATATATGAAATACACTAACATTTGTACTCTTCTTTTTTAAGATGGAATTTTGCTATGTTGTCCAGGCTGGTCTGCAATTTGTGATTCTCCTGTCTCAGCTTCCCAAGTAGCTGAGATTAAAGGTGTGCACTACTGAACCTGGATGATTTGTACTTTTTCTTTAGAAGAATAGCATCAGTTGCTTCCTAGCTGGTAAACATGAGTCAGAGGAAAATTCTTCTCTAGTTATCCTTTTATACCTTCTTTATTTGGACCCCATAAATGTATTACTGTTCAAAAATAAAATTAAATTAATTTTTAAGGTAAAAGTTTTATTCAATGTGTAAAATGGACATGACATTCCTTGAGAATGATGTCTGAACAATATTTCTCAAGATTTCCAAAGTTGTACATGATATATTAGATAAAAAAGTAGAACACAAAACTGAATTATGTGTAGTTGAAATTTCTTTTTTTTTGAAATTTATCTCTTTTTATGCATAGTGTTATTTTCTAAATTGCCCATAGTATACACAGTTTTAAAGATAAGAGTTTATTAAAAAGATGATGCTCTGTCCAGATGACTCTCAAAATGGGATCTCCAGCTTACATCTTTCCCAAACCAATTCAGCCCCCTACTTCCGGTCATCTACAGCTACTGGTGCACAAACAGCTCCCTCTGCCAGGTCCGCATGACTGCTTGCTCCTTGAAATGTAAATTTAAATCCACTGCTAACAACCATCAGAAACCAGAAAGCAGTCACCTTGACTCTTGCTCCTTCCTACTCATCCCCACTCCCACTGCCAAACTGGTCATCCTGTTGACACTACTTCTGGGAGGCCACTTCCGGTGATGACGCTACTTCCGGTGATGGGTGATTTTGAGCACGGTGTTAGCAGACCTTCACAACCTCCACTAACACAGCTCTCACTCCTCAGCCCTGACCTTCCCCCACTGCTTCTGCCTGGGCCTCTCTGGACTCAGCGCTAGCACCCTGGTCCCTAGACTGTATTGGAGTTAACTGTGTAAAGCTAATACATTCATTGCCCTAAGCACAAACCTCCCTCTGGCAGGGATGAGCCATTATCCATCCATGGCAGCCTCAGATCTCAGAACCACACAGGGAACACAAGACACACACAATAAACTGCTTCTGAATAGAAAATATAGAGAAATTGAAATTTCACTGTATGTACCACTGTACTTCTCTGGCACAAATCTAATGCCCTGGTAAAAATTCATCTGCATTGTTATTTAATCCTTGAACCTTCAGAAGCAGGATGTTTTAGAATATTTACCCTCCATCTGCATAGACAAACATCTCTACAAGGAAGAATTCAAGTTGTTGATCCTAACTCACTTTCAAGGTTAGCTCACATTGTGCTGACCTGAAAATCCTTGTATTTATTTAATGCCTGGATCACTAGTCTTTCATTCACAAAGCTTAAAAGAAGCTGAACAGACTCTCTAGAACCTTTCAAATATTTCCCAGCCAGGCTAAACAAAACAAAGAACATTTCCCTAGAAAGGCATGCTTTTCTTTAAGTGAGCACTAAGCTAAAATTAGGGATAAAACCAAGGACATTCTTCAGTGACATGTTTAGATTCTGAGCCCTTTCAAAGGAAAGAAATCTAAAACAATCTCCTCGCTTAGTTTGTAGTAAAGCACACACCAGTCTTCTGAGGAGGGCAGATGTCTCCTGGGTTGGTCTGCAGGCCTGTTCCTGTGGGTCACATTCTTTGTCACATAAATACTCCCTGGAGTTTTGGTAGACAAAGGAATTTCTCACTGTTTTTTGTCACCTTAGTTCTGGATTCTCTAGCCCAAGGAATGATCTCTCAACAGCTTCCCCCTCACCCCCTTGTACTGAGGATTGAACCCTGGAACTTAGCACAGAGCTACATCCATGGCCTGTTTTTATTTTCAGACAGGGCCTTACAAAGTCACTCGGTTGCCCAAATGGGGCTCAAATTTGCGATCCTTCTGCCTCAGCCTCTGGAGTGCTAGAATTACATCTGTGTGTCACATCTGGCTCAGCAGCTTTTGATGGTAGTTATAAAAGGTCAGCATTTAGTTTCAGAGGACTGGTGAGGCCCTCTCTTTCAGTACCTGGTCAGGTCTCCCATCTGTCAAAAGGTAGATGACCTGTGTTTCGTGATCAGCAAAAGCCATCTGCAGGGCCTGCAGTGTGTTTGTGGAGCTTCCCACCTGTTGGAAAAAACAGATGTGCAAAGATCTCACCAACAAGTAATATGTATTTGCTGCTTTTAAAAAAGGAGGAAAAGGACTTGTGAAATAAAAGTTAAAACTATACTGAGATAGTGTTTTAAAGCTAGTGATTCCAAAAAACCTAATCCCTGGGTGTGTTACCCATATCCCTATTTGGGCAGTCCACGGACTTTTAGAAGCCAGGACTGTGGATTTAACATCTCGATGACAGAGGTCTTAATGCCATTTTATCTGTGTGTGTCTAACTCAGTTACTGCTCATCCAGTTGTCAACAGAGTTTAAATATACAGCCTGAATGTACCCTGGTGGAGAGAATGTTTATTTCAAACCAGGGTTTACTCAAGACACCCAACATTCAGCAAACACAAGTGTGGTATCATTAGCAATCTAAGAGTGGACCCATGGACGTATCTAACATAACCTGAGCCCACCGAGGTTCTGGCGAAATAAACATTTCAAGTACATTCACATGTCAGTTAGGTGTCTTATGAATGTAGGGTAGGAAGTGAGAGACCCTAAATGTCCTACTTTACATATGACAGGAATCAACAAACACATAGAACTGACACTCCATATTTGTGGGTTCCGTATCTACAGATTAAACAACCCTGGGTTGAAAATACTTGGCAAAAAATCACATCTGCACTGGCATCTGCACTGGCATACACAGACTTATTTTCCTTGTCATTATTCCCTCAACAAATACAGTGTAGCAATCTTTTACATAATGTTTTTACATAGCATTCATATTCTACTGGTATATTAAGCCTTTTAGCGGTGGAATAGGTGTGGGTTGTACACAAATATTATGGCATTTTCTCCACGAGACTGCAGCATCTACAGCTTAGGGATCAGCAGGGGCTCCTGGAACCAATACTAAAGGAAACCATGCCAGTCAAAATCAGAATCAATCAAGAGGAATCAGTTATGGCTTGTTCTCTCACCTCCACAACACAGTAATCATGACACCACCCAACTCTTCATTTAAAAAAAGATCAGGTATCAATATACACATTGTATGTCAAGGGAAAATAACAATAGACTTTTAGCAAACTCTCCAATCATACAATTATAAACTAGAAAGTCTCTTGAATACTTTATCAATACAGAAATAGATTTTCAGATAAATGTAAATTCACTGGAATATACTTCCCTTAATATGCAAAAGTAATCCTTACCAAGACACTATGTGTTACCTCAATAGGACTGAGATTTCCAAAAGCCTTTTAAGTCTTTGCCCTCAGATCTGGTATCTCAGCCCAGATTCAGTTGTAAGCAAGAAAAACCAACAGTGGTTGACTTCCAGCAGAAAGCAGTGTATAGAAGGGTCCTTGGATTGGCTCACAGCACTACCAAGCTGCAAGAGAATGTTGGTTGGGACCTCACACCAGGAAGGATGTCCCCAGTCCTGCTGCAGACCTGCCTGATGCAGGTACCTCCACAGCTCTGCTCTGAGCACCGGATATTGCTGGTTGCCTTGGCAACATGGGGAGTGTCAGACATGAGAGGGGCCAGCAGCCCTTTGCCTCCAGCATCCAGGAGCCATCACTGCCACAGTTCTCCCTATCACCCAGTGTCATGCTCACTTCAAAGACCAGGAGGTGAATCTGATTGGCGCTGCCTGTATCACATGACTCACAGCCTCTCTGAATTTCCATAGGGTAAACAAGCTCTGCCTGCCATGCCAAGAATTAGGATGAGAAGGGAGAGAGTAACGATCAGCACATACCCAAGCCCTACCTGAGATGTCTCATCTCCAAACTCTCTGTCCCCATAGATGTGTTCTTCATCAACAGCTTCTCTTCACGGAACTGGGTGTATAACTCAGTGGTGGAGCACTTGCCTAGCACGCACAAGGTCCTGGGCCCATCCCCAGGACCATGAAAACCACATTTCTCAGACCTAGACACGAGTAGGGCATTCTGTGTCCTGACCCACCGAGTGCACTCACCCAGGTCTCCTCCATGTGGCTTTCCTTCCTTCCAGTTCAGGTATTCAGTAAACACCCATATCCCACATGCTAGGCATTTTGCTCTGTCTGAAATATGACTTAGGAAAGCAGACCAAACTCTGTGTTTTCAGTGGGGGAGTCACAGGACACTGTTAGAAGGCTGGAACGCACTGTGCGAAAGCTGCCACCCAGCGTGCCTAGCAAAGAGCATCCCTGGCTTCAGCTGAGTGGGTAAAGACATCTCATGGTGGAGATGGCTGGGAAGACCAGGAAGGCTGAGCAGGACGGGTAGATGGACATAGAGAGGGTGACGGGTGGTGTTCACAGTGCAGAAAGGAATTCTACACTTGGAGCCCATAGGATGAGGGAAAGTGGCAGTGTGATGGTGGGGCTGAAAACCATAAAAACATCTACCCCGCTCTGAGCTAAGTGCTTACATTCCCTGCATGTTTACTCTGCAGTGTAAGGAGGCACGGCCTCAGAAACTTCAGTTTCCACGTCCCCAGAAGGTCACCCAGCAACAGGCAGGCTTCCACCCTGAGGATAACACCAATGGAATTTTGTGGGAGCTCCAGCAGCATGAGACTGGGAAACCTAAATTGTCACAGGAATGAAAGCCACAATTGTGAACCTAATCACAGCAACTCGTTGCTAAATGACAAGATTCAAGTGGGATTAAAGCGTCTTCTGACATAACAATTAAAATGTCAAAGATGCCATAAAAAAGTCACTCATCATACCGAGAACCAGAAATACCACTTTTGGATGAGAAATGAAACCAACCAGTGCCAATCACAGAAGAGTCTCAGAGATCTCTGGGAGAATAAAGAAGATCCGATACCTGACCAGGAAAGTCTCACAAAAGAGAGGGTAAAAAATGAGGAGCTTTAAAAGTATTTAAGAAAGGTTAGTTTAATAGTTCTCAACTTTAGTGAAAGATACAAAAGCTAGCTTCAAAAGCTGAGAAAAAATACAAATAGGGATAAACCAAAGAAATTCACACCAAACACATCATATTTAAACTTCTGAAAACTAAAGGCAAAGACAAATCCTAAAAATGGACAAAGAGAAATAACATCATGGTCCCTATAAAAGATCACCAAGGTTCAAGTGCTGAAAGAAATGAAAAGCCAGACAGGAATCATGTGCCTGGGGAAAACATCCTCCCAGACATAGGAGGGCCGAAAAAGGAAAACTATGAGAAACTATTATTAGGAAACCTGCCCTTAAAAACAGTGATTAACAGAAGCTCTACAAATAGAAAACAAGAATAAAATAAAGATTGGACTCTGAGGAAGGAAATCAAGAAAATGGACTGGGTACAGGTGGGCTAAGCACAGTAGACAATCTTTAACTTCCTGAGTTTCCTACATCGTGTTTCATGATTGATGTAAAAGTGTAACATAATCTAATACCATCTATAATAAACACCAGGGACATACTTTAAACAGTGAGAGTAAAGGAACCTACACAGAAATAAGATCTGCACACTGAATTAAGGGAAAAATATCAATATTGACACATTGTGATAAGTTAGTCCTCTTTGTGTCTTTATAGGGTGCAATCAAAAATACTGGGTGCCACCCAACAGAAAAGCAGGCTTGTGAAAACATGACGGTGTTCTCATCTACCTGTTCACCAGATCAGACATTATACAACTTCTGGCTCTTTTCCAAAGTAAAAATGATCATGAAAGGTAAATATTTGAATCATTCAGGACACTGAGGCTGCCATGATAGTACAGCAAAAGATATGAGAGACGATTTCCAGAACTGCTTCAGAAGGTGGCCAGAATGATGAGATACAGATGGTTTAAAAATGGTGGGGGTGGAGGGGGATTAGTGACAATGTGTCTTTTTCTGTAATAACTTTAAAATTTAAACATGAATCCTTTTTTTTTGAGCATCCCTTATAGGCAAGTTGACAGAGAAAGAATGAAAGGATATAGCAAGCAAACACGTATCTTTGGGAAGCAAGAGTGACTATATTAAAATCACATATAATAGATTTTAAGGCACTGCTAGGGACAAAAAGACATTACACGATGGCACAAGGTTTAGTCCACCAAGAAGATAACAATCCTAAGAATGTATGCACCAAACGATAGAGCTTCAAAATCAATGGAGCAAAATCTGATACATGTAAAGAGAAAAATAGATAAATCAATAATTATGGTTGAGCACATCAATATCCCACTCTTAATGGTTGACAAAACAGAAAACATAGGGAAGAAGTGAAAAAATGCAATCAACTAGCCAGAGCTAATTATCACTCAGAATATTCTGCTCAACAACTGAATGCACATTATTTTTTTCAAAAAATTAGCACTTACATAAATAGATCATACGTTGAATCACACAGAACGAGTTAGAAAATACACAAAGTTAAAATCATATAGACAATATCTAGTAGTAGGTCACAAAAATTACCAAACAGTTGTAAATTAAAGAACATGCTTTAAATAACCCAGGCTCAAAAAGAAATGCTACTGATCGCTAGGCTTGGATGTAGCTCAATGGTAAAAACTTAGCCTTAGCATGGAAGAGGCCCTGGGTTCAATTCCCAGCAGAGAGAGAAAAGGAGAGGGAGAGGCAGAGAGAAATCAGAAAGAAATAAAATATTAAGTGGAACTAACTGAAAATTAAACAAAACTTAGCCAATTGTGAAATGGAGCTACCAGTCATAATAGGGAAATTTGTGGCACTAAAAGTTTATGTTAGGAAAAAGGAAGTCTCTCAAAATATTATTCTGTGGCTGGAGATTTAGCTCAGCAACATAAGCACCTGCCTGGCAAGTACAAGGCCATGAGTTCGATTCCCAGTACCAAAAAAAAAAAAAAATACTATTCTATTTCTAACCTAAGCAAATGAAAGCAAAATATATTCAAAGCAAGCAGAAGTAAGTAAATAAAGATGAGTGGAAATCAACAAAATACAAAAAGCAAAATGGAGAAGCTTAATGACACAAAAGACTTGTTTAAAAAAAAATCAGTAAAATCCAGAACTTCTAGCAAAATTTACAAGATAAA